TTTTATATTGTGTCACAATCGAGTTTCAAAAGAATTATATCGAAAATAGGAAACTGCAGGATCGGTCCAAAATTTATGCCTATGCGATCGCTTAGGCTTAACCTATGCGGCCGCAGAGGCTAACAAGTTTTGGCCCTAAGACGTTCGGGAGGCTCCTATGCAATCGCATAGATATAACCTTTGCGACCGCATAGGTTCCCCATTTTTCGAACGTTGATTTTAGTCCTTGAACTTTATTTTCCACATTCTTGGCCTCATTTCTTCCTTCTTTTTGTTCCCTCTATCAATGTTAACCTCCAATTGGTACTTGACTTGATCGAATCTTTGATTGCTCCTTTGGTTCATCTTTTGGATATTTACATGTTGGTCCCTGAACTTTCATTTTGGTCTGTTTTGCTTCTTTTTCTTGTGAATTCCACCATGTCCATCACTATACCCTACAGTCCAACAATTGAACGAATTTAGTCCACAATTCAAATATTTTGCTCGTGATTTAGTCATATTTGTGCATTAAATAAGTGCACAAAAACGCACTTATCAAATCCCCCAAACTTGAACCGTTGTTTGTCCTTAAACAAAATAGTGACTTAACTCAAAAACAAACATGGCTCCATAGCCTACCGTGTCTCAGGATTGGACTAAGTCTTTTGCTTCAAGAAAATCGATTAATGCATGAATGAAATCAACCTTTACTTGTTGAATACATACTTGACGTGTGTGTGTGAATTCATGCCAACATATCAAGCTCATGATTGGTCAAATCTCGACCCCAAAATGGTCAAATATATCCTTTCGCTCGAGAGATACACAACCTCCCGAACTTATTCTTTTCACTCAATTATCTCGGGGTTGTGTTTTAAAGTTAAAGGTTTAGGTGACTGTAGTCCTTGCCCTCTCTTTGTTTGGATGGATCTTACCATCACAGGTTTGTATGTCAACAAGTGAGGGCTCTCCTAGATTTGATTGCTTCAACACTCGAGATTAAACTGAGTTACTTGTCTCGCCTTGAAGGTGTGATTTTTATCAATCGAATGTCCAAGAGCTTTATTCATACTATCATATTCTGTATTATTATAATTTTTTTTATGTCATCTTCTCATTTGCTTTCTATATAACCCCTATAATGAGCTTTGGGTTGGTGACTCCCAAATCAGTTGGCCTTAGGGCACCAGGTTTTACACCTTTGCAGGTTTATTTACTCGAGTTATAAAGGATCGATCAGATGACTTTTTATTCACCTCTTTCCTTTTTGCTTTCTATATGACCCTTGTAATGAGCTTTGGGTCGGTGACTCTCAAACCAGTTGGCTTTAGGGCACCAGATTTCGAGATATCCTTAAAGGCTTACTTGCTCAAGTCATAAAGGCTTGGAAATGTGTCATATTTTCATAACCTAGATTTATGCCCCTTTTTAATTTTTTTTCTAGACATTTGGTCTCTAGAATCAACCCCCAATTTAAGACTTTATCCTAGTTTTCATCTCACTTGTCTAGACAATTCACACAGCGTAATTCATGCACGGAACCCCCTACTTATCTCAATGTTCCCCTATAATTGTTAAACCGTCTCCAAACTATTCATTAAGGCTTATTGGTTTATGGGTCTGCATTGCTTTATGGCTTAATCTAATCGAGGTCTTCTAGTTTCTCCTGCTTTATTCAAACCCAATCACTCACTTGACATGTATGACATGAGTGACGTGCATATGGAATTTCAAGTACTACCTCAACAAGTATTAGTTAATCAAATTCTGCATCATATTCATAGTTCCTAACACATACCTATTCTAATAATCACATCATTGCCGACAAGGCTATCAAACCCACACAAACATACAATGAACTTACTACAGCATATTGATCCAATAATCACTCATCAAGAACACAATATGCAACCAGTAACAAAGTATTGATGGACTGTGATCATTTCAAAAAGGATTACATTACATGCCGATAATTTAGTTTCCAAAATGTGTCACGTTCAAAATATGCCATCACCCCCAAACTTATACAGTACATTACCCTTAATGTGAAAAATAAATGTTTCAAAAGGCATAATTTGAGGGACAAGTGCAAATTAGAAATAGCAAAATGAGTTAAATAAAACTTCCCTGATTAATGAGGTGATGGTAACTGATAGTTGGGTCCTGCGATGTCGTCGCCAGGTGGATGTGGAAAATAATCCAAGATCTGCCTCAGTAGATCCGACTACTGGACTTGCTCTGCTTGCATGGCTCTTATCATGCTACTCTGTGCTCTGACTTCGTCTCCATGCTACGCATTCGGTCCCAAGTGTCGTCCACTCTTATCTGTATTCCATCCACTCTACCCATATATATTCTCAGCCGTTCGTTCATAGTTTCCATCTCTCGCCTAGCTGATTGGGCCTCCTGATATGTAGTTTGCGCCATGGTTTGAGTGGTACTGATATCACGTCGGGTTGTCTGCATGTCGGTGGTCAAAGTCCCTAGAGCTTGCTGGATGCTTTGTATATCGCAGTTGATCCATGTGGTTGTTACGAATATCTGACGCAATAACTGTGTATCGACCTCAACCTGTGGTAGTGGTGCTTGTGGCATCTCCTGATCTGCAGGTGCCTGGCCCTGCTTTGCTTGCCACCTGCGACACTCAGTCTCTTCCTTTTCTCTGTGTCTGACCCTAGCTCTGTCTTGAGCTTCCAAAGTACTGTGCTTTACAGAGGGCTGGGTTTGGTAGGCGCCTTCCCTGATGCAATATTGATTCCTGCAGCCCTACATATGCTAGTGATGAGGCTAGGAAAGATCATAGAGCTGTACTTGTCCCCCAGAATTCCCACATGACGTATCTGATCATAGCATAGAGTTGCGAGATCAATTTTATTTCCTTGTACCAAGTGATAAATAAATCCGACTGTGGCATCTGTAAATGTGTTCTTGTGTGAGGTTGGCTCGATGTTATGGCACATAAATAGCCACAAGATGGCTATCAAAGGTGTCACCTCAATCTGGTGCCATTCAGTGGTGCGGAGTGGCCATGTATTCTCTTGTTTCTACAAGATTTTTGCAACTTCATTCCAGTTGAATACAGCCGAGATGGGGGATATGTTGTCCCAAGTCAGTTGATAATAGTCGTGTATAACCTATGTCGAGAACATTATCCACTTTTCCCTCACCCATTTCTGATACATGTGTTCAGACCCTGGTATGTCAATCTCAGTATTGAAGTTTGCATAGAATTCGCCTTCCAAGGTTTCATATGTAGGGTGTGGGCGCTTAACCATCCTTGCCCAACCACAATTGTCGACCAAAGTGCTCAATTCATAGCCTGAAAAATCCTCTAACTTAACTGGCCGTTCTGGAATCACAGCCCATCGACTTACGATGTTTTATACCGTGTTGTAGCATCAGAATTCAAGAACCTTTGTATGCCCCTTTAAGCTCTCGATTGCGTGCCGTTCTTGATGATGGACAGACTTTTTCTTTCTCCTTGAATGTTCATTTTGGAGGCATCCTGCAAAGTTGCAAAATAGCATTCATTAAGATTTTTGTTGAAACATGATAAATGGAATGAGATCAGTAAGGCAGGTATTTCACAAATCCCCCAAACTTGTTTCAATATGCATGTATAACACATTTGTGTGTAATATTCAAAACATGATATTCAAGATAATAGAAATATTACGACAATAGGAAAAACTAACAAAATTAGGCCCATATATGCACATTATGAAAATTTGACCCATGATCGAGTGCGCACTTTCAACCCTGAGCATCATCGAGAAATATCAAAATTTTCCTGAGAAATCTCCGGGCATAGGAAGTATTCAATGAGGTCTAGCACATACTCAAATTTCAAATCAATTAGATGTCGTTTGGTGTGTCAAATTATGTGCTAAAGTGAGTGACGTGAGGTGTCGTGATATAGCCATGTGCCTGTGTTGCAAAATGGATATGGATGTTTTCTATAGTCTTTCATGCATATCTCATCACCCACATGCTACTTACATCAATTGCAATGCACGACAAAAGCAAAGTGCACAAAAATCCCTCAAACTCGTCACTTAGGCAATATGTCGAGCATCTTGTGTGCATAATGAAATTCCCCTAACTTTGGCTATTGATACTCTATCATGTAGCTCCCATATTCACATATCAATCATACGCATAACAAAATACCCAATCTTCATCAAATACCTAATCAATGGGAAGAAAAGTTACCCCAATTTCGAAATTGATAGAATAGGGTGTAAATAATTTACTTGTAAACTTGTACAGATTTGGAACTATAATACCACCGCAAAGTGAATGCAAGATGTGCTTTAATGTGAATTACGAATTGCGATGAGTTGTGGATCTTGTGTGAGAAAGAGCCAAGGGCTTTTGTTGTGAGTGTGTGGGTCGTGTTTAAAAAAAAAACTGAAGTTTTAAATCGCATAGAGTTAAAGGTCAGGGCCAATTTGTTTATGTGGCTGCATAGACTAAACGTCCGAATTTTATTTTATTTTTCTTGACATTAATAAATAAAATAAAACAAAACAAAATACAGTAAGAAAAATTTGATTCCCCTCCCCCAAAACATGGCCTCAACCAAACTTTAGTTTTCAATTAATACCTTGACCCAACCTTTCAACACCCCAAACTTTTCAAATTCAGATTTTTAAACATCTTGGTGCATGTGTGAGTTTTAACTTAGTGCCAAAACCACTTTGAACTCTCAATCACACATTGGCTCTTTAAATTTTTGAAAACGACATTTTGTCTTGAAATGCGTGAATTATATCCCCAATCACCCAGAACATCTTCAAGCTTTCTGAACATGTGCTCCATGCCTAGGAATTCATGTGAACAGTGCTTAGACTCTATTGACATGCATGGATGATCGATGACCTAACTAAAAATGTAAACATGAAATTAAAATTTTCTAAGCTAATGCAAACGAAGATAAAACAAATTAAAGGATACAGTGGGTTGCCTCCCATCCAGCGCTAGTTTATAGTCGATAGCTCGACTTTTCCACTTCTGCTTCAATTAGGCATTTCAAGTTGAATAGTGGACTTTTGCTTTGAGAAGTCCCCACCCCAGTAGTGTTTCAGCCTTTGCCCACTAATTGTGAATGTTCCTTTTGTTTCATGGCTGACCTGTATAGCTCCATATGGCATAACTTTAGTGACAGTGTAAGGACCCGACCACCTTGATCTTAATTTTCCAGGGAAGATTTTGAGTCTCGAGTTATATGACAGGACTTTCTGCCCCACTTCGAACTCTTTTCTCTGAATACATAGATCATGCCACTTTTTGGTGCGTTCTTTGATAAGCTTCGAGTTCTCATATGCTTCCATTCTAAATTCATCTAACTCATTAAGTGGCAATAATGCTTTTCACCGGCGGCATTCAAATCCATGTTCAACTGTTTCATAGCCCAATATGCCCGGTGTTCTATTTCCAGTAGGAGGTGGCACGCTTTTCCAAAAACTAGGTGGAATGAAGACATGCCTATCGATGTCTTGAATGCTGTCCTATATGCCCACAATGTATCGTCCAACTTTTTAGACCAGTCTTTTCGGGAGGAATTCCTTGTGACCTCTAATATTCTCTTCAGCTATCGATTGGACACTTCAACTTGCCCGCAGGTTTGTGGATGATATGGGGTTGCTACACGGTGTTTAACCCCATATTTACTCAATAATTGTTCTAATTGGTGATTGCAAAAATGTTTGTCCCCGTTACTGATTATTGCCCGCGGTGTGCCATATCTAGTAAAGATGTATTTCTTCAAGAACCCAATTACCATTTTTAAGTCGGTCGTTGGCAATGCAACTGCTTCCACCCATTTTGACACATAATCAACTGCTACCAAGATATACTGATTTGAAAACGATGAGGAAAACGGTCCCATAAAATTGATTCCCCAGACGTAAAATATCTCGACCTCCAATATGCTGTTTAGTGGCATCTCATTCCTTCTTGAAATGTTCCCAGTGTGTTGACATCTATCACATCTCTTAACAAACTCAAAGGCATCTCTGAACAATGTAGGCCAATAAAATCCTGACTGTAAGATCTTAGCGGCAGTCTTTATAGCTCCTAGTTGCCCCGCATAGGCAGATGAATGACAATGCTCAAGAATTTCAGGCACTTCATCTTCAAGTATACACATTCTCACAATTTGATCAGCCCCTCGCCTATAGAGAATAAGATCTTCCCAAAAATAATATTTCAGTTCGGCAAAGAACTTTTTCTAGTGACTCGAGTAATCTGGCGGTGGGATTGACTTAGCCAAATAATTGACGATATATGAATACCATGGGGCTTCTTTTGCACTAAACATCTGCTCATCTAGAAAGATTTCATTGATTTCCACTGACACTTCTAGTTCTTCTTGTTCTAATCTCGATAGGTGATCTGCTACCACATTTTTACTATCCTTCTTGTCCCTAATTCCAATGTCGAATTCTTGCAGCAGTAATACCTAACGGATTAATCTTAGCTTAGCATCCTTCTTTGTCATTAGATACTTCAATGCAACATGATATGTGCAGACTATGACCTTAGACCCCACGAGATATTATTTGAATTTGTCAAAGGCATAGACCACCGCCAAGAGCTCCTTCTCAGTGGTTGCGTAGTTGATTTGGGCATCATTCAATGTTCGGCTTGCATAATAGATCACATGGAAGATCTTGTTCTTTCGCTGCCCCAGTACTGTACCTACGGCATGATCATTGCCATCACACATTAACTCAAAAGGAAACTCCTAATTAGGAGCTACAATTACCAGCACTGATGTGACTTTTTCCTTCAAAGTGTTGAAAGCTGTCAGACATTTCTCATTAAATTCAAAGGGCACGTCTTTCATTAATAGGTTGCAGAGGGGCTTGGTGATTTTTGAAAAATCCTTTATGAATCTCCTGTAAAATCCACAATGTCCCAAAAAGCTACGAATTCCCTTTAATTGATGTTGGTGGCAGTAACTTTTCAATAACCTTAATCTTTACTTTGTCCACCTCAATCCCTTTTACTGAGACCCGATACCCAAGTACGATCCCTTCTTGCACCATGAAGTAGCATTTTTCCCAGTTTAATACTAAATCGGTTTCCCTGCATCTTTGTAATACCAGATTCAAGTGTTCCAAACACTTGTCAAACGAAGACTCGAAGACCGAGAAGTCGTCCATAAATTTCTCTACCATGTTTGAGAAAATCGCCATCATACAACGTTGAAAAGTGGTAGGGGCGTTACAAAGGTCGAAAGGCATTCTGTGGTACGTGAAAGTACCGTAAGGGCAAGTGAATGTAGTTTTCACTTGATCATCTAGTGCCACTGGTATCTGATTGTAACCTAAATACCTATCGAAGAAGCAGTAATGTGAGTGGCCTGCCAACCTCTCCAGCATTTGGTCTATAAACGGAAGGGAAAAGTGATCTTTCCTTGTTGCTACATTGAGTTTGTGGTAATCGATACAAACCCTCCATCCTGTGACTCTTCTGGTCGATATCAGCTTATTCTTCTCATTGGGCACCATTGTTATTCCTCCTTTCTTTGGCATCACCTGAACTGAGCTAGTCCATGCACTGTCTGATATCGGATAAATGATTCCAGCATCTAGAAGTTTGAGTACCTTTGCTCTAACCAGTTCCTTCATATTTGGGTTCAATTTCGCTAAATTTCTATGGTTGGCCGAAAATTCTCTTCCATGAGAATCTTATGCATGCACGGTGAAGGGCTGATCCCTTTGATATCTGCTATGGTCCATCCAATTGCTGTCTTATTCTCCCTGAGTACTCTAAGCAATTTCTCCTCTTCCACTTCGCTAACTGTTTTCGAGATGATTACCGGAAGTATACACGACTCCTCCAAGTATGCATATCTGGGATGAGGCGGTAGCTGCTTGAGTTCTAATTTTGTGGCTACTAAATGGACGATAGTGGTTTTGTGGGTCCTATCCCAAGCTTCTCAAAATGTTTTTTGCGTGTGTATGGTGGGTTAGTATCCAAAAATCTTGCACATGTTTCCATCTCCACTGAATTGGACTGCATTGATTGCGAATGTGCAATGCAAGCTTCATACGCATGTGATGGGTTATGTAGCAAGAACGAGTCTTGGACCACCTTGTCAATCGCATCGATCTGGAAACAGCTATCTGTCTCTGTAGGTAGTTTCATTGCCTTGAAGACATTAAACGAGATCTGCTCTTCTTCTAGTCTTAAAATCAATTGCCCGTTCTGAATGTCGATTAAGGCTCTTCCTGTTTCAAAAAATGGTCTGCCTAGTATCAATGGAATGTCTTTGTCCCCTTCCATGTCCAAAATTAGGAAATTAACAAGGAATATGAATTTTTCCACTTTGACAAGCATGTCTTCAATTATTCCTCTGGGATGTGTTAATGACGTGTCAACCAGCTGTAGTGTTACAGTAGTTGCATTAGCCTCTCCTAAGCCAAGTTTTTTGAAAACAGATAAAGACATTAGATTTATACTTGTACCAAGATCACACAAAGCTCTATCAAAATAAACTTCACTAATCGTGTAAGGAACAGTAAAACTCCCCGGATCTTTCAATTTTGGTGGGAGCTTTTTCTGAATTATGGCGTTGCATTCCTCTATTAGCATTACTGTCTCGTGATCCCCTAGCTTGCGTTTATTTGATAATTTGTCATTTAGGAACTTTGCGTAGCTAGGGGTCTGGAACAGTACATCGACGAGTGGGATGTTGATGTGGAGTTTCTTGAAAACTTCAGGAAATTTCTTGTATTGTTACTCCAACTTCTGCTTCTTTACTATGGGAGGCTCATGAGGGTTAAAGGTTGTTTTACCCTATGTTTTGCCTGATTTTTTAGCTGGGATGAATTCTTCTATTTGCTCGTCATGCTCTATAGGATCTTCCATCGTTGGACATTCTGTTTCTTGATGTACACCTGACTTTTTTACATGGATTTCTGGTAGCTGCTTTTCACTTCAAGTTGTAATTGCCTTAGCATGCTCCTTCGGGTTTATTTTTGTATTACTCAGTAGACTGCCTGGTGCTCTACAAGTCAAAGCAACTGCCATCTGTCCCATTTGAGTCTCTAAATTTTTGATTGCTGCATTCTTGTCTTGAAGAGTGACTTCGATTTTCCTTATGAATTGATTGTTAGCTTCCATATACTGATTAGTCTTCTCCATAAATTTACCAAACATCTCTTCTAATTGAGGCTTTTTTCTGGCTGGTGATATTGATCCTGCGATTATTCTGGTTTTGATTGCTCCAAGAAAAATTTGGATGTTTTTTCCAACTTGAATTGTGTGTTTCCCTATATGTGTTGTTTTGTTGCGGCTGTCCCCATTGAGCAAAGTCTGCCTACTCTACTCCTTGTACCAAGGGCATTCTGTTGTTACATGTTCAGCTCCACATTCTTCACAACTAGCCTTCTTCGACTATGCTGCGGTGGCTGATTGTGTCATGTTCTCTACCTTGTGAAATAATGAATCAATTTTTGTTGACAAGGCAGAGTAAATGTCCACTTCATAAACCTTCAGTGTTTTCTTCTGAACTGTTCGTTTTGATGTCCACATAGTTGAAGTGGTAGCCTTAGTCTCGAAAGTTTTAGTGCCTCATCAATTGTCTTTGTGGACAGTGATCCGTTTGATGACGAGTCAACTATGCTTTTAAAGGCTAGGAGTAATCCAGTATAGAAGTATTGGACCTGAAGTCCCTTGCTAATCCCATGGTGTGGACACTTTTGCAGCATATTCTTAAACCTATTCTAGGCTTCATCGAAATTCTCCCAGTTACCTTGACGAAAAATAGAGATGTCATGCTTGAGCATTGCGATCTTAGCAGGTGGAAAGAATTTAGTGCAGAATTTCTGGGCTAGATCATTCCATGTGGTGATACTTGCGATTGGTTGCGAATCTAGCCATTCAATTGCCTTGTCGCGCAGTATATGTGGGAACAACCCTAACCTGATAGCGTCGTCTGAGATTTCTTGATATCTAAAGTGTTGGCATATCTCCAGAAAATGGGAAACATGCATATGTGGATTCTCTTCGGTCCTTCCATAGAATTGATGGCCATTTTGAAATAATTGTATCACATTAGTTTTCACTTGGAAGTTCGACTGTCCAAACGGTGGATACATAATACTTGACTGACTTTGAATTATCTGTGTGGTCATGAAATCTCCTACAAGCATATTTCCTTCAACACTGCCTCTTCTTCATTGGCCTGAAAAATTGGATTATTCTGCATGTTAACCATTTGTTGCTGTGCTTCTCTGTTTTCTCCCTGCCTTCAATGTAGAGTTCGTTCGATTTTCGGATCAGCTGGGATCAATTCTCCTTCAGCAGACCTTGACATGCAAATCTGCTAGAAGAGTCAAAAGGAATTCTTAGTGTTAAAATGAAATATTAAATAGAACAAATCAAAATGAAATTAAATAAAATGAAATAAAACACAACAAAATAACAGAAAATGCAAATATGAATGTTCAAATTAGTGTCAATATAAATAAAATTAAACGAATACTCAATCCCCGACAGCGACGTCAAAAACGTGTTCGCTAAAATCCTACACTGCAAGTGCGGGTCGCATTCAAGTAATAAAGTGGGCCTTTTGAGTCTGGATTGTCGATCCCTCGATGAATGTATACTTTAAATTACACAATCTTAATAAATTTAATTCTAACAATAAAAATGAACACACTCAATTAAAATATGACTTTGAAATAAGGAAATTAACTAAAAACCTACAAAATAAGAAAATATAAAATCTTGAAAATTTCGGAGGACAACGTGGTTGTGATTCATGATTTCGCTTAACCGTTGCCCTAATTAATTTCCCCACATACCAATTAACGAATTACTCATTTACGATATTAGACTTGATCTTCCAATTTTAGTTAATTACCTCTCTCGAATGAAATTAAACCTAATTGATTGGTTTAACCTACTATATCTTTATGTCGATTAGAACCAAACAATCGGATTCAATATTTGTGAAAATAGCTCAATTGGTCACCTAGGGCTAGGGGTATATCTCTATCCCCTACACAAACCTAAGATTTCTACAATTTGGTCTAAAATGCACAATCTTCTCTCGAACGATATACAAATCACTAAACACATTCATTAATTGCCCACATAAATGAAAATGCATGAAATATAATAATAGGAACACATAAATGAAAATGCATGAAATATAATAATAGGAACACATGAAAATAAGCAACTTAATATTAAAGAGCAAATATTAAAATTAATCAAGACTAGGTTAATCTACAACCACAAATCCCAACACAAATAATTAAGCCTATATCATATATATGAATAAAAGGATAATATTTTATACAATACATTGCAAGTTTGACAAAATAATGGAGATAATACAAGATTATAGATAAAACCCCCTTTTATTGTATTTTTGAAGATGAAATTGCTTGCTTTTGATTTCTCCAAAATTTTGTCAAATCATTTGATTGAATCTCCTTGTGTTCTAGGTTTGATCTCCAAAATACCAAAATTGAAAGGAGAAAAAATAAAAGAAAAAGAAAACAAAAGAAAGAAAAAGAAAAAGAAAATGAAGAAGCAGAAGCCAGCCGAAGAAGACTGAAGAAATTGTGCCCAGCTGCTGGTTTTAATTATAAAACCTAGCAAAATTGTGGTCATGGTCCCTAAAGTTTTGGAAAATTAACAAATTGGTCCCGAGCCCTTTTTGAATATAAAAAATGGCGCCTAGGCGCCCTGTTTCTGTCCAGCAGCCAAAAAATGGGTTTTGGTGTAATTTGCAGCTTAGTTCCTCAATAATTACATGTCATGTCCCTCAACTTTTGATCTTGAACAATTTGGTCCCTAGATTGACTTTTCTTTCGATTATGCCCTCCGTAAATTGCATCACAATTCCTCCACTTTTGACATATGCATTTTGGTCCCCAACATCACAAATTTGCATACTCTTAGTCAATTTTTCTTCTTTTTGCTTTGTTCTCTTACCACGAGTGATTTTTAGCCTATAAAAGCAAATATTACTTAATTGAGAGTAGAATTCCATTCTTTTCATCAATAATTATATTAAATTAAGTGCCTAATAAGTATGTAAAAACACAATTATCAACACCCCCAAACTTAAGATCTTGCTCGTCCCGAGCAAGATTATCTACCACACAATCAAGCAAACGTGATAATGGTCAACACATTAAATAGCTTGCCAAAAATGTCAATGAGTGTAAAATTGTATAATCAATTCATAAATATGCTCTAAATCATGCGAGCAAAAATAATTTAAGCTATCCAATATTCGATCGATGTGTGGGTGCCACGTCACTTTTAATCACTATCTAAACTAAATTGTCAAAATGGAAAAATCTTCAAATTGGCTCCGACCCGACCCTTTGTGGTCAAATATTTCCTTTCTCACTCATGAGATTCACATCAAAATAGATAATTTTTTTTATTTCCCGAGGTGTGAATCTAAGATTGTTCTCAATCACTCATTTATTTTTCCTCTCTAGCTTGGTTGGGTCTAATCGGCAATCTTAATATCTAGTCATGTGATGATTCTCCACTAATGAGTGCTTCACATTCAGGTTTATACCAAGTCATTCAAACCCACTAGTTATCTAAGTCCAAATATCGATAAAGATTTTTTTTTTAGCAGAATCTCATGTTTTATCTCACTTCCTTAATCTTTCTTCTTGACCCTTGTAGTGAGCTTTAGGTCGAAACTCCCCAGTTGTTTTGGTCAAAGGGTACCATATTTTAAAATACCCCTATGGACTTAATAACTCGAGTAAAAAAGGCTACGAAGTGAGGCGTAAGATTCAACAAGTGCAATAGCATTTTTTTTAAGCAAAGCAAAAATGGGGCTTAGATCCCTAGCATAAGGTCATTACCTAGCTTATACTTGACAAAAGACACTCCATACAAATATTTTCAACGTGCACGGAATCAACACACTTCTAGATAATATCTTTCACTAGCTCGACCACCCCTAACTTATCTCACAATGTAGTACAGCGAAAGAGAAGAGAATATAGGTTGATAAAAATTTTCCACATCTAGATAAGAATTAATCATGACTAATGTGCTCAAAGTAATTCAAAATCTTACAATGGATAAGCAATTTTTTTTGAAAAAAATTAGGCACAAATAGCATAATTGGTCATGCATAGCTCATGAATCAATAACAACTTCAAACATTCAAACCATGTTATGTCGGCAAGGCTATTTAATATATCAATACAATATCACCAATTCAAGCACCATCACCCCCAAACTTAAACTACACATTATCCTCAATGTGTAAAGAACAAGATAATGAGGAGAGGGATAATGAAACTTCCCCGGTTGTATATTTGTGAAGAGGCACCCATGCTTGACTCGGACTTGTGATGCTTCCAATGAATTTTAGCTATTAACCTTCTTGTACACAATTTACCCCCAAACGTGTGAGGAATATTTCCTACAAAAATTGATAGTTAATTAGATAGAAGTATAAAAATGCATAAAAAGTAAATAAAAAGCTTAAAAATTTAAAAGTTGGGTTGCCTCCCGACAAACATTTTTTATAGTCTTTAGCTCAACTTTGGCAATTGAATCATGGGCACCTAAAGAAGGCTTTGGATGCCTTGCCCATTTTTCTTCTTTTGGCTTTGCTCCACTTTTCATCTGATCTCCAAACCTCGACATTACCTTTTCAATGTAGTAGGATTTTTCCATTCCATCCGATACAAACTCAACAATGTAGATTTCTATCTTTTCATCGGACTTAATCACAAAATCAACTCCTATGCAAGCGATGAAATCGGACGAGTGTATGTTGATTTCATCTTCATTGATTCCTAAATCCTCAATCGGTTCCTTTGTGATTAAATTATCATTCACTTTAAGCTCTTCTACAATCTTTGATATTT